AACGACAACTTAATACATCAAGCAGATAATAATCCTGCAGTTCGGGGCAGGGTAAGTAATAAAATTGTATTCTTATAGAACGCTAAAGGATTCGCCTCCTCCACAGGCTTCACTCACGCACCGGCTGATAGCCTCCTATGGCCTACTCAAACTCATGCAACGTCTGGATCCAAAAGTATGTGGGCTCACCGATTTAAGAAGTTTTCACAACCATGACTATGTGCAACAGCTATTAGAGAAAAAGACACAAAGCAATCCAAAAGGAATCAATTTAACAGCGGCTGTTCCCATAAAATTAAACGCATCTGTTGCAGAGGAAGATCAATGTAGTGTCGAGGATGATGACGTTAGCTTAGATACTACACATGCTCATTTGGAGTACGGTTTGGGTTTCGATTGTCCTAGTTGGAGAGGCATATGGGAATATGCTTGCACAATTGCAGGCGGTACAATGAGTGCTTGTGCAGCACTATGCAAATATGGTTTGCCTAAGAACGGTAAACAAACTGTGATTATTAACTGGACAGGTGGTTGGCATCACGCGCAGCGTGATCGTGCTGCTGGCTATTGCTACGTGAATGATATAGTGTTAGGCATACTTATGTTGCGGAGGCATTTTAAGCGTGTACTTTACATCGATTTAGATGTCCATCATGGGGATGGTGTACAGCAAGCGTTTGAAGTGACTCAACGTGTATTCACATTTTCCATGCATCGTTTTGAATGTGGCTTTTACCCGGGCACTGGTGGGTTGGATGATTGTGGTTTTGCTAGCGGTAAAGGCTATTCAGCTAATTTCCCCTATCGTGATGGTATAACCGGTGAAACCTTCTGCAAATATTTTAAGCGGCAAGTTAAAGTTTAAAAAAAAAAGTTAAATGAGACTATTTTGAGAACTTATGATACCCTTGCAGCGTTTTCAGCATCATACAAGAATGCTATGCGCCAGAGGCCTATGTAATACAATGCGGTGCTGATGCTATTGTGGGTGATCCGCTTGGAGGTACCAATCTCATCCCAGCTGACTTAATTGATTGCGTTGAATTCGTATTAGAACGCAAGTTGCCTACTGTGCTCTTGGGTGGTGGGGGCTATGATTTTACTAATGCTAGTCTGTTTTGGACTCAATTAACAGCTACTTGCTGCGGCGTACGACTACCAGTAGATATACCTGAGGACAATATAGATTTTCTAAAATATGGGCCGGATTATAGTCTTATAATCAGGCGGTCGAAAATAATGAAGGACCACAATAATCTCGAGTATTTGGAAAAGTGCACGCGGACCATTCAAGGCAAGGGATTTTGTTTTTATTTTTGAAGTTTTGAAAAATGTAATCCTTATTTATACATAATTTTGGAACTTTTGGTGGCTATCACAGAATCTATCCTAGTCCTATTTTTCGTGAAAACTGCGTAAATGTTATTACAGAATCCGATTTGCTACGAACGTATGTATGTATTAAAAGTGTACGTTACGCTCGTAGCTACTCGAATTCAATTTCATTTTCGTAGATTTTGCGAAAAATCGGAGTACGATGGATTCTGTGGTAGCCCTGATTATGTACGTTTCTTTCTTGCAACTGCATTTTTTGTTTTTTCAAAATTTAGTTTATTTATAGAACTTTTCGATTACATTCGTACATAAAGTGGATTATTTTTTTAATGTTTACAGAAAATCTCCGGAAGTTTAATGTGAAAGCTGTCTGAAACGCCTTTGTGTTGGCCCTACTAAACTTTGTTATTTCTTTTTTTATTCAACTGATTGTGGTTATTTGTCTTAATTTATGGATTTCATTTATAGATGAACAATTTACTTTTTGTAATTACGTTAATATTATAACTTATAAACTAAATTCTAATGTATGCATATATGATTACATTGCAATTTAAAAATGTCCTTGTCTGATCAGCGTTTTCAAGTTCAAATTAATACCTACAAAAATCTTCAGTTATCTTCCAACCTATGGAAGTATAGTTCGCCCGCCGCCCCCAGCTCCTGCACT